GCTTTTGCTCAGCAGTGCAGCACAGGAACTGATCGGAAGATGAACATATTTTTTAATAAAGTTTAAACCTATATTTATTTATTTATTTTTTTTAAATGAATAAATTTGTAATTAAAGTTTTAATTTTAAGGTTCAAATATTTCATTTTTAAAACAATACTGGAAGGGATGTTTCTTTATGTGTGTCAGAATACAGAGACGTTAAACCTGCAGATACTTGTGTTCATTATTTATTTGTATTTTGAGGTTGTAATGGTTAAAAAAAATCAGTGTAAATACGTCAGAGTTCGTCATTTAAGGATCAATCTGCTCTTTTAATTCGCAGATTAATATTAGACAGTAACTAAACTCTCATTGTGACGTTTCATCCAGTGTAAACCAGCCATTTACGAGATGTAGCCACCAAACTGTACAATTATCACTGAATTTAAGGAAACACTTTCACACACATGAAGTAAGAACTACTCAGTCTGTAGAAAACTGTTTTATAATGTTGTCTGTGTCTCTGGATGAAAACTGTCAGAGTGACGTCATCAGGGTTAACATGATTTTGGAGGTGACAGATTTCCAACAGAAAGCAGGAGGTTTGGTGTGTAACAGAGACAGACATGCTCCACAGAGGAGGGTCTGATGAGAAGATGCAGTCCAGTTGCATCATAGGAAATGTAGTGTTTTTGGAAATCGCTCCATATCAGGGACTAAAAGACAGAAAATCTGGACGTTGGCTGATTTGAGTTTTACCATTAATCTGTCTATTTTATCACTGAAGAACATTCAAATTTTAGATTTTATTTATTGAATTAACAGTTTGATTTAATGTATCTTCTTACATGATGGTCCTCATAGCTGTTTTAGAGCCTCCTGTAGCCATCAAGAAGTCAAGCTCATTTTATTTACATATATATATTTGCTCAAAATACTTTTACAATGTTTATAATATGGTGCAGAGCAATAAATTAATTAAAATCAACTAAAAATCTATCAGTATCAGCCTTTAAAAATCATCACGTAACATATGTGTAATTGTAGGATGGAGACTCTTCCTCAGGTAAATAAGTCATATGAGTGAAATCATGTTTTTGATCATGTCAGAAAAACAAATGCATTTCAAAGAATTTTAAGTTTAATGGAAACATTTAACGTGTTTAAAATCAACATTTGTCTTAAATGAAAGACGGCAGAAATATGTGACAGGACATTATAGTCTGAATAATTATTATTATCAGACACATTAATTATGGTAAATATTTGTCATAAAAAGAAAGAAGTGAACAATGTTTTGCAGAGAATTTTTTTTGTTTTGTTAACTTGTATTTTTATCTGCTCTTAAACTCTTAAACAAACCTAAAGGAAGTCGTAAAAATTATATGCCGTTGTTTGCTTTTGGAGGTGTCGACTCGCTGCACTTTAAATCTCTGAATACCTCAAACAGCTGATAAGATGGACACCTGCTGTTAAACTCTGATGTTAAAAGTTGTCAGAATAAATGTTAAGAATTTTACTTTGTGTGCGAGTCTTTAAAGAATTTCAACCAACTTAATTTTTTAACTTGGAGTAAAGCAGCTCAGTTACTTTATTATTATTATTTACTTTACTATATTAGTTTGTAGTTGTGTAAGATTTTGGCTGGAGTCGGGCTAAAAATATAAATTGATGAAAAGAGGAGAGTTTGTTGCAAATAGCAATCATGATTTAATTATATGTGAAAATGTGAATTAACAACACTCAACAGATTTAGTTTGTGCAAACTTAACTTTTTCATTTGGGAAAAACGAAAAAAAATTACATTTAATAAGTCCACAATTTTTTTTTACTTTTATTCAAAGTCTTATTTTTTCAGTGTATTATTATTATTATTATCATTATTATTATTATTGAGGTCAGGCGGTGACACATGAGACAGAGAAAGAGTATGTGTGTGTGTGTGTGACTGCTTTATCTACACCCCCACCCACCCACGCACACACGCACACGCACACACCCCAGAGACCTCAATACGGCCGTGTTGGGATGATAAATAGCGGGCCGGTGGCCGGTGGATCGATCCCCCTCCTCCTCCTCTCCCTCCTCCTCCTCCTCCTCCTCCTCTCCCTCTCTCCCTCTCTCCTCCACAAACACAAAACTATATACGGCAATTAATTCCTGCTTGTCCCTCCATCCCTCATCGGCCCTGCCGGCGCGTATCGACGCAGATTACTGCTGATGGTCCGTTTTATCACCGCGGAATATACAGCGAGGAGCGCTCATAGACACACACACACACACACACACACACACACACACGTATATATACATAATGTCAGTGGTGTTTAGGATCGCTGCTATAACGCCTGAAACCAAAAACAGCGACAGTCACTTGTGATCAGCTCCGAAGTTACGATACAGACGTCACAGCGTGAACCCGCGACCTTTTATTATTACAGCACTATCATGGCATTATTATGGGATGCGTCTGGTGGCACCGCTGCAGCAGGAGAAAAGCGCTTCATTTAACAAAATAAAACAACAAAAACTGCAAGTTTCAAAGAGCTACAGTCACATCAAAGCTCCAAACTTTGCAAATACAGGAAAATAATAGGCTACATCGATAAGATTATATAGTGCATCTAAAATAGGAATTTGTATTAAGACATCTTTAAATATACCGTGAAGTTCAGCAAAGTCACCATAAATTCACTGTTGCGCACAGCCGACACACTGAACTGATAAAAATAACTTTATAGGAATATTAAACTTGAAAAAATCGTGATTGCATGTCAGAAAATAAACGATAAATTCCCTGAAGAAACAAATAAACACAACGCAAATATTATAATCTATTAAAATATTACGGTAAAACAGGAATTTGACAACGACCAGAGCCCATGAGATGATCTCTGCACACTGCACTCACACCTCATGCGTAAAAACCATCGGTTACTTTGGGAACATTCTCCTTCAGACCTCCTGCTCACACACACACACACACACACACACACACACACACACACACACACACACGTTATTAAAGCATTATATACTGATCCTCTGCGGAGGATTTAATTGTTATAAAATATTAAGCTGAAATAAATAAAATATAATCGGTCATAAAAAAGTACAAATACGTTTTTAAAAGCTGCCGAAGGACCAAAATTTCCGCCTTTGACGGTCCAACTCAACAGACACGGGACTTCTCTTTGATCTCTACGTGCGCAGCGGGAAGCGGAGCGGCTCACACCGGCAGAGTGTCGGGTGCCGTTACACCGAACCAACGGGCCGCTGAGTTTCTGCTCCGCGTGTGTGAACGCTTCGTTTCTCATGTGTGACGGGACGCGCTGAAGTTACTGTGTGTGTGTGTGTGTGTGTGTGTGTGTGTGTGTGTGTGTGTGTGTGGACAGATATTGACAGAGCTCCGTCATGCGTAAAGACGCGCGCGCACACACACACAAATACACACAGACACACACGGAGTCACAGCAGATATCAAAGTAATGACAGGAGTTTACGCGAAATAAAAATGTGTTTTTTTTCTTTTACACTAAATAAATAAACTAATAACAGTAATAAATAAATTGATAATTTAATAACTGTTAAGAAGATTTAAAAAGACGTTAAAAAAGACAAGAAAAGTCAGTTGAAACGCTTCAGAGGAGACGTTTGGTTTTTTGAAACTGCCCTGAACTGAAGAAACGCCACTAAAATAAAACCGAATCGATCGCTTTGATCGGAGTTTAACTGAGATTAATCCTTAGCGCGCACGTGCATAGAAGAAAACACACTGAGATGATGGACAGACAGACAGACACACACACACACACACACAGAGACAGGTGTAAACCCCGATGCTTATTTCCATACAGTCTGCATGAAGTCTGGTTGTATGATATGAACTGTGCGCTGCTGCCCGCTGCTGCTGCTGTGTGAGGGTCTGAACCCCGGCCAGGCTCTGACCTTTGACCTCTGACCCTCCACACCCCCACCCTCCTCCTCCTCCTCCTCCTCCTACTGTCCAGCACCGCAGCTGTCAAACCAACTGTAACATCTCACACACTAAACTACATTTTTATGACTAAATAAATCTGCTATCATTTGAAATTTAAACTATTTATTATACTTTCAACTTGTAAAAAAATCCTAAAAAATCTGCTTAAATTATCATCCATTTATTTCTCACCCATTTCATTTTATTTTGTTTACACTAGTGATTTAAAGGGAATGTTTACCTGCAATTAAGGCCTCAGGAATTCTGTGAAGCTTTGACAGATACACGTAGAAATATTTTAAAAGTGTCTTTGACGCTTGATTAAATGCTATAAAAATTTAAGAAATGCAGTGACTCTGGAGAATTATCTATAAAAGTAATTATGAATTAACAATAACACCACTTACTGTTGGAATATTATGCAAATATTAAATAGGAATATTTCAGAGTTTTCTTATCTCTGCAAATGAATTTAATGACACAATAAGGAATGATTACAGTTATGACTGAACGACAATCCTGCAGGATTATTAAGAGATACATTTGCAACAAAAATCAATAAGTTACTATAAATTTCTGAGTGTCAGAAAACATTTTAAGAAACTGCAACACCACCAGAGATTATTACTGAAAATTATTGCTGGAATTTTGTAGAAACACTTTCCTTTATTAGTTATACATATAATAACTTTGTGAGAATATATTCACATTATTTTGCGCACTTAAATATAAATGCAACAAGGTCACAGCTCACAGCTGAGCTCTGCAGAGAACAAAATAAACCCTGAAGAAATATAATTTATTATATGAAATATCAGAGCAAGTTTAGCAGATCAAACATGTGACACGAGGTCAAAAGTCACAGCTGAGCTCAAGAGACACGATCCAAGACCCTCTGGGAATATGACACTGATGTTATAGGAATATTATAGTGTCAACACACCTCTAATAAACTCCAGTGACGGTGACAGGCCCGAGGTGTGTGTGTGTGTGTGTGTGAGAGTGTGAGTGTGTGAGAGTGTGAGTGTGTGTGTACGTACGGTTGTTGAGCTCTCCCGTGTGGTTGCTCAGCGGGATGATCTCCATCCTCTGCTGTCCGTACAGGTAGTAGTCCAGCTCCTCAGACGTCAGCTTGAACCTGGCCGACGCTCCTTTGCTGCCTTCCTCTCCTCCTCCTCCTCCTCCTCCTCCTCCGCTGCTGCTGCTGCTCTTCACACTGGACGACACCACGCCGACTCCTCCACAGCTCTGCTCCTTGGCCGGGTGTAGAAGCCCCGCTGCTGGGTTATGACCCTGCTGGTTCTCCGGGGGTACGACCACCACCAGGTCCCCTCCTGTTCCTCCTCCTGGTCCTCCTCCTCCTCCTCCAGGTCCTCCAGGCCCAGCACACACCGGGGCCAACGCCTGACCGAAGAGCGCGATCTGCTGAGGGACGGGCAGCTGGGAGATCCCTGCCGAGGTGGAGATGGAGATGGAGGAGGATGGAGTGAGGGCGGCTGCTGCTGCTGCTGCTGCCGCTGCTGAGGAGGAAGCTGAAGAGGAGGATGTAGAAGAAGAAGAGGAGGTGCAGTGTGTGGAGGCCAGGAGGTGGCTGTGCAGGCGGGACGGGCGCAGGCTGTCCATGGGGATGGAGAGGCGGTCAGGTGGAGGCGGCGGCGGGGCCAGAGGAGCCTTGAGCTGCGCCTGAGGGAAGAGCTGCTGCCAGTGCTGCAGGTAGGACGGGTCCACCTTCAGGAAGGCCGAGCCGCTCGGGTCGCCCGGCTTCAGCATGGCTGCCCGCCGGCTGCTGGAGGGAGAGATCAGAGAGGAGGAGCTGTCATTCATCAGCATCAGTCAGGAGGTCAGGGCGGGATGAAGACATGTACGGGACACACAGGGCGTTAAACTCAGACACGCACAACAACATGTGTCACATTCTCTACAAACATGTGCAACACAGAAAAATTAGAATCTAGATGCCATTTAAAATCCTTTTTTTTTAAAACTTGAGGTAACGTGAGAGATTTATCACATTTAAGAGACAAACATGTCCCATCAGTCACTGAATTTCCAAATTAAATTCCCTCCTCATGCATTTAACTGAGACTAAAACAAAAAAAAAATCAGATTTCAAAATGTGTTTGTATTAAATTCACTCTGAAGGTGTAAAGCTGAAGCTGATCACATATTTCAACCTTAAACTAAATTTTGTTGTGTTGAGCTGAGCCGGATCGCACCTGATCTCCACCTGATTTAAAGGCTTTCACCTTCGGTTTACACTTCAAGAGTTCACACAGAAACACGGAGCACCTCAGTCTCTCTGCTTCATCCTGAATCACAATTTGTTTGAGTTAAATTTACACAAACAAACACGAGACGCAGAATTTTAACTTCATTCTGCACGTTACAGCCTGAACCTGATCAGGTTTATTCTTCAATTCTCCAACTCTAGACTTTTAGTGGAGCTTCCAAAAATCTAAAAATATGCACAGAATATTTATTTGTAATATGTTAAACTGTTTATTGCATGAAAATTAAGTTTCAGGCGTCAAATGGAGCAAATGCATTTTACACCAAAGCCTCAAACAAAGCACATTCAGTTTAAATTTATCAATTTAAAGTGATGCTCTTTTATCGTGAATACACTTTTTTCCCCTTCATATTTAGAATTTACATTTGAAACATTTAGCTGAGTCTGATTTCACACAGTTTTCCTCCTGTCACTCACCTAATTTTCTATTTTAGGCTTAAAGCTGAGCTCATAAAGACAAAATAAAGCTCAGATTTTCAACTTTAAATTTACATTTTTGGTAAAAATTACAAATAAAATAGTCAGAGGCTCATCTGTTAACAGTAAATGAACCTCTCAGGTGTTCCAGGTGATCAGTGTGTTACGCTTCACTGCTGCAGGATTTCAATAAAATACAGATTTTTTTTCAGCAAAAACAAAAAAGCTGAGCACAAACTGATGAGTTTCTGTTGAAAATTCAGATAGTTTACAGATTATTTCAACAGACATTATGTTCCTATTTGAGTGTCAGATGCTCAGAGTGTTTCTGTTCTCATCAGAATCAGTGTTTCACCTCCTCCGGTGAAAATACAAAATAAATCTGTACTCATTATTTCTTTAGTAGCAGTAAAAAAGGGTAAATGTTAATTGATTTAAGGCCCCAGAGTCACTGACAGGAGCACTGAGATATTTTACAAAGTGTCATCTTGTTTTTTTAAACTTCATCATCTTAAAGCTGAGACTTGCATGACTCTTAAATTTCACATTAAGTATTTTTATTCAGTTTCCCTCCTCATCCTGTCTGAAGAAGAAGCAATGAAGTCTCTTTTCTAAATTAAATAAACGCAACCAAACGTCATTCCAGAGACAAAAACGTGTACAAACTCTAAAGCCAATAAAACACTGAGTGTAAACTGACTTCCTCCTGCCTGACCCTCCGCTGCAGCCCTGCTCTGCTCCGCTGTCTCCGTCTCGGATGGATGTTTTAGCGCGGATTTTACGCACGCCAAGCGCAAAAAACCGCACCAAATAAAAGCAATAAAACCACGCGCGCACTCGCTTACACTTCTGATTAGTTTACAGTGTCACCCAGGCAGTGAGTCAAAGTTTCATCAGGATAAATAAATAGATCCGGGTAAGTCCAGGTCAGATCAGCGGTCCCGCGTGGTGTCCGTGGCCGAGCAGAGGCAGCGCTGGGCGGGTAGAGACGCGGTGACGCTCCGCCGGGTTTTCCCGGAGTTTTTCCGGGATGTTGTGTTTTTCTTTTATGTGTGAAAGTTGTTGAAGCGCAGAGGAGGCTTACTGCTGTCAGAGTGTGTGCGGCTCCTGGACGCTGATTTCCGGGCAGCGGTGGAAGGTTTGTCCCTCCTCCGGGCTGCGGTGAACCATCGAGGGGGAGCCGGGACAGTTCGCTGCGTCCTGCGCGTCTCCGGAGCCAAAACTACCCGAGCGGCTGCTGCGCGAGCCTCTCTCTGTTTCTCTCCCCCTCCCTCCCTCTCCCATTCACTTGTCCTCTCCCTCCCCTCTCTCTCCCTTATCTCCTCCAGCCTCTGCCTCTAATTCACACGTTTTATTTCTCTCCTCAGTCTCCTTCTCTGCACTCTCACACTTTCCTTCTCCCCTTTCTCTTTTTCTCTTTCCTGTTTTCTCTCTCTCAGCCTCAGGCTTTTCTGTTTTTCATTTTTTCTCTCTTCTCTTCTTTTTCTCCAGATTAAGTCCAGTTCTGTTCAGTTTAAATGATCTTTATTGACACTAAGCACAAATGGCCTTATGTTTGGAGGAACAAAGGCTACATGTAAATCTAAAGGCTGACTGCTGAGTGTACTGTACGTGATTTATAGTATCTTTGTAAATGTCTGTATTCTATCTCTCCTAACAGAACAGAAGCACCATCTCTCACTGGAGTGACAATATGGTCATGGACTTTCCACGTCCACATATGACGTCCAAGGTACCCTGCGTGTGTTGGTTGTTGACGTTGTGGGACGCCGTGTCAACTTCAGCCTGTTACATGCATTGTCTGTTTTCAAAATACGCTTCTGTTTTCACAGGAAATTTAACATTTACATAAAGTCTCTTCCAAAATAAAGGCGCTACGTCGGTACAACATTTTTCTCTTCAACAAAAACACGTGGTTAGGTTCAGGAAAAAAGAACAGGGGTTGGCTTTAGAATCTTACGGGACCGAACAATGCTCTCGGGTGGAAGTCTGTGTTTGTTGGGCCCATCCACCCCAGTTGGGCTTCCATCGCCTTAACTTACTTGTCCTGTGGCTTTTCCCCCTGACGCCACCAGACACCGTTAAACTATAACGGCACCTGTCCGCGTATCATGCTGACGTTAAAGAACGTCTTTTTTTGTTGGCTTCTGACGCCACAAGTCAGTGTCAAAGCGTCTGATTTTGACGACTTCGAAGTGAGAACGGCCTTGTATTTCATCTCTCCTGAAAGAACGGAAGCATCATCGCTCCACACTTTCATGACTAATTTACATGTAAATGGAGGCCTAGACGCATATTTCACTGTTGTGTGTATTTTTTAGTCTAAAATACAAATGAGACTACAAATTGTAGTTACCTTCTAAAACATCTCACAAGAATGTTCAGCCACCACTGTGGTTATGGTTTAGTCAGGTTTAGGTCAGCTGTCAGGATGTAAACAGCAGCCTTTGGCATCAAACTACACGATGATAACATACGTGATATTTTTCTCTTTTGACAGCCCGCTGTCGTCAAATACCACTGCTTTGTTAGTGATTTCAGTGTCAGACACCTGACGTCAAAAGCCATGTTTCGTGGTGGTATGACAAGTTGCCAGGTAGCGTCAGTTTGTAACGCAGCCAGACGTAAGCTTTCGCAATCTTATGATATGCTGCTGGTTGGCTCGACGACACCTGTTGGGGCCGTATGATACACCGCTGGACAGTTTGAAACACTGCCAATAATGACGTAATGTAAGGAGGTGGAAAGTCTGGGATGGGTGGGAGAGCTGGTGGATGGGTCCCGGAGTTTCACCAAGGAGCCCGGTGTTCGCTTCCGTATGAATGTAGAGCCAAACCATGATGTTTTCTTTCTAACCCCTTGACGCCCATTGTCGCGAATTCGCGACGAACCGCTTCCATTCAGAATGCATCCAAGATAATATATGTGTTCCCCAAATGCCGGTTCATGCATATTCGATACGCACCTAGGAACCTTTTGCAAGCGTTTGTTTCTTGGGGGACCGTTCAAAATCGTAACAACATCCGGTCGAAGGAAGCGGACATTTCCGGTTTCATCGCGATCGCATATGCAAAGCCAAAACAGAGAAATTGTCCTATTTGAGGTAAGTTGCTCTAAGATAAATATAATTATTGTTTGCTTCTACAGCTAAAATATCTGTATAGACTACCTGTGACGGATATTTTTGAAGTTATTTCAAGTTTTCCGTTTGTAGCGAATTTGCTACATTAGGCCATAATGGCTGTGTTGCTACGGCTACTGAAAGCCATCTAAAAATAGCATTAGCCACTATAGCCGTTAGCTATAGTGGCTAATGCTATATTTAGATGCTATATTTGGCCATCTAATGCTATATGCTATATTTAGCCATCTACATATAGCATATTTAGATGCTATATTTATGCATCTAAATGCTATATGCTATATTTAGCCATCTAAATGCTATATCCTATATTTAGCCATCTAAATATAGCATTAGCTATAGTGGCTAATGCTATATTTAGATGCTATATTTAGCCATCTGCGTACTATGTGCTATATTTAGATGGCTTTCAGTGCTTGCACACATTTTCTATATGAAAAAACACTCTATTTCTATAATCGTTATATGAATAGCATGCTGGTATATAAATGCAATTTCTGCCCTTTATTTTTATGCAGAAATGCCATAAATGAATCCATCTGTGTTTTACGCAAAACTGAAAACGGGACTTCAAACCAGGGTCCCACCTGAGGAGAGTGAAGACAGCTGTCTCAGTGACAGTGGGGACAGCGATGACGAGTATATCCCAAACCCAAACCCCCCTATTTGTGAATGTAACCTGAGTACATGTTGTATATATAATATAAATAAAACATTTCTGTAGTATATACTTTTCAGTAGTGATTTCATTGTTTTTTTGGTTTATTTTTACACCAGGTGATGAAAGCAGCAGAGAAAGCAGTAATGAGACTGACAACAGGAGCAGTGCTGATGATGATACAGATGGAGACGAACTTCCTAGCACCAGTGCTACTGCTGCGAGAGAGAAATCAGCTGCTACATCAAAAACAANCTGAGTGTCAGAAAACATTTTAAGAAACTGCAACACCACCAGAGATTATTACTGAAAATTATTGCTGGAATTTTGTAGAAACACTTTCCTTTATTAGTTATACATATAATAACTTTGTGAGAATATATTCACATTATTTTGCGCACTTAAATATAAATGCAACAAGGTCACAGCTCACAGCTGAGCTCTGCAGAGAACAAAATAAACCCTGAAGAAATATAATTTATTATATGAAATATCAGAGCAAGTTTAGCAGATCAAACATGTGACACGAGGTCAAAAGTCACAGCTGAGCTCAAGAGACACGATCCAAGACCCTCTGGGAATATGACACTGATGTTATAGGAATATTATAGTGTCAACACACCTCTAATAAACTCCAGTGACGGTGACAGGCCCGAGGTGTGTGTGTGTGTGTGTGAGAGTGTGAGTGTGTGAGAGTGTGAGTGTGTGTGTACGTACGGTTGTTGAGCTCTCCCGTGTGGTTGCTCAGCGGGATGATCTCCATCCTCTGCTGTCCGTACAGGTAGTAGTCCAGCTCCTCAGACGTCAGCTTGAACCTGGCCGACGCTCCTTTGCTGCCTTCCTCTCCTCCTCCTCCTCCTCCTCCTCCTCCGCTGCTGCTGCTGCTCTTCACACTGGACGACACCACGCCGACTCCTCCACAGCTCTGCTCCTTGGCCGGGTGTAGAAGCCCCGCTGCTGGGTTATGACCCTGCTGGTTCTCCGGGGGTACGACCACCACCAGGTCCCCTCCTGTTCCTCCTCCTGGTCCTCCTCCTCCTCCTCCTCCAGGTCCTCCAGGCCCAGCACACACCGGGGCCAACGCCTGACCGAAGAGCGCGATCTGCTGAGGGACGGGCAGCTGGGAGATCCCTGCCGAGGTGGAGATGGAGATGGAGGAGGATGGAGTGAGGGCGGCTGCTGCTGCTGCTGCTGCCGCTGCTGAGGAGGAAGCTGAAGAGGAGGATGTAGAAGAAGAAGAGGAGGTGCAGTGTGTGGAGGCCAGGAGGTGGCTGTGCAGGCGGGACGGGCGCAGGCTGTCCATGGGGATGGAGAGGCGGTCAGGTGGAGGCGGCGGCGGGGCCAGAGGAGCCTTGAGCTGCGCCTGAGGGAAGAGCTGCTGCCAGTGCTGCAGGTAGGACGGGTCCACCTTCAGGAAGGCCGAGCCGCTCGGGTCGCCCGGCTTCAGCATGGCTGCCCGCCGGCTGCTGGAGGGAGAGATCAGAGAGGAGGAGCTGTCATTCATCAGCATCAGTCAGGAGGTCAGGGCGGGATGAAGACATGTACGGGACACACAGGGCGTTAAACTCAGACACGCACAACAACATGTGTCACATTCTCTACAAACATGTGCAACACAGAAAAATTAGAATCTAGATGCCATTTAAAATCCTTTTTTTTTAAAACTTGAGGTAACGTGAGAGATTTATCACATTTAAGAGACAAACATGTCCCATCAGTCACTGAATTTCCAAATTAAATTCCCTCCTCATGCATTTAACTGAGACTAAAACAAAAACAAATCAGATTTTAAAATGTGTTTGTATTAAATTCACTCTGAAGGTGTAAAGCTGAAGCTGATCACATATTTCAACCTTAAACTAAATTTTGTTGTGTTGAGCTGAGCCGGATCGCACCTGATCTCCACCTGATTTAAAGGCTTTCACCTTCGGTTTACACTTCAAGAGTTCACACAGAAACACGGAGCACCTCAGTCTCTCTGCTTCATCCTGAATCACAATTTGTTTGAGTTAAATTTACACAAACAAACACGAGACGCAGAATTTTAACTTCATTCTGCACGTTACAGCCTGAACCTGATCAGGTTTATTCTTCAATTCTCCAACTCTAGACTTTTAGTGGAGCTTCCAAAAATCTAAAAATATGCACAGAATATTTATTTGTAATATGTTAAACTGTTTATTGCATGAAAATTAAGTTTCAGGCGTCAAATGGAGCAAATGCATTTTACACCAAAGCCTCAAACAAAGCACATTCAGTTTAAATTTATCAATTTAAAGTGATGCTCTTTTATCGTGAATACACTTTTTTCCCCTTCATATTTATAGAATTTACATTTGAAACATTTAGCTGAGTCTGATTTCACACAGTTTTCCTCCTGTCACTCACCTAATTTTCTATTTTAGGCTTAAAGCTGAGCTCATAAAGACAAAATGAAGCTCAGATTTTCAACTTTAAATTTACATTTTTGGTAAAAATTACAAATAAAATAGTCAGAGGCTCATCTGTTAACAGTAAATGAACCTCTCAGGTGTTCCAGGTGATCAGTGTGTTACGCTTCACTGCTGCAGGATTTCAATAAAATACAGATTTTTTTTTCAGCAAAAACAAAAAAGCTGAGCACAAACTGATGAGTTTCTGTTGAAAATTCAGATAGTTTACAGATTATTTCAACAGACATTATGTTCCTATTTGAGTGTCAGATGCTCAGAGTGTTTCTGTTCTCATCAGAATCAGTGTTTCACCTCCTCCGGTGAAAATACAAAATAAATCTGTACTCATTATTTCTTTAGTAGCAGTAAAAAAGGGTAAATGTTAATTGATTTAAGGCCCCAGAGTCACTGACAGGAGCACTGAGATATTTTACAAAGTGTCATCTTGTTTTTTTAAACTTCATCATCTTAAAGCTGAGACTTGCATGACTCTTAAATTTCACATTAAGTATTTTTATTCAGTTTCCCTCCTCATCCTGTCTGAAGAAGAAGCAATGAAGTCTCTTTTCTAAATTAAATAAACGCAACCAAACGTCATTCCAGAGACAAAAACGTGTACAAACTCTAAAGCCAATAAAACACTGAGTGTAAACTGACTTCCTCCTGCCTGACCCTCCGCTGCAGCCCTGCTCTGCTCCGCTGTCTCCGTCTCGGATGGATGTTTTAGCGCGGATTTTACGCACGCCAAGCGCAAAAAACCGCACCAAATAAAAGCAATAAAACCACGCGCGCACTCGCTTACACTTCTGATTAGTTTACAGTGTCACCCAGGCAGTGAGTCAAAGTTTCATCAGGATAAATAAATAGATCCGGGTAAGTCCAGGTCAGATCAGCGGTCCCGCGTGGTGTCCGTGGCCGAGCAGAGGCAGCGCTGGGCGGGTAGAGACGCGGTGACGCTCCGCCGGGTTTTCCCGGAGTTTTTCCGGGATGTTGTGTTTTTCTTTTATGTGTGAAAGTTGTTGAAGCGCAGAGGAGGCTTACTGCTGTCAGAGTGTGTGCGGCTCCTGGACGCTGATTTCCGGGCAGCGGTGGAAGGTTTGTCCCTCCTCCGGGCTGCGGTGAACCATCGAGGGGGAGCCGGGACAGTTCGCTGCGTCCTGCGCGTCTCCGGAGCCAAAACTACCCGAGCGGCTGCTGCGCGAGCCTCTCTCTGTTTCTCTCCCCCTCCCTCCCTCTCCCATTCACTTGTCCTCTCCCTCCCCTCTCTCTCCCTTATCTCCTCCAGCCTCTGCCTCTAATTCACACGTTTTATTTCTCTCCTCAGTCTCCTTCTCTGCACTCTCACACTTTCCTTCTCCCCTTTCTCTTTTTCTCTTTCCTGTTTTCTCTCTCTCAGCCTCAGGCTTTTCTGTTTTTCATTTTTTCTCTCTTCTCTTCTTTTTCTCCAGATTAAGTCCAGTTCTGTTCAGTTTAAATGATCTTTATTGACACTAAGCACAAATGGCCTTATGTTTGGAGGAACAAAGGCTACATGTAAATCTAAAGGCTGACTGCTGAGTGTACTGTACGTGATTTATAGTATCTTTGTAAATGTCTGTATTCTATCTCTCCTAACAGAACAGAAGCACCATCTCTCACTGGAGTGACAATATGGTCATGGACTTTCCACGTCCACATATGACGTCCAAGGTACCCTGCGTGTGTTGGTTGTTGACGTTGTGGGACGCCGTGTCAACTTCAGCCTGTTACATGCATTGTCTGTTTTCAAAATACGCTTCTGTTTTCACAGGAAATTTAACATTTACATAAAGTCTCTTCCAAAATAAAGGCGCTACGTCGGTACAACATTTTTCTCTTCAACAAAAACACGTGGTTAGGTTCAGGAAAAAAGAACAGGGGTTGGCTTTAGAATCTTACGGGACCGAACAATGCTCTCGGGTGGAAGTCTGTGTTTGTTGGGCCCATCCACCCCAGTTGGGCTTCCATCGCCTTAACTTACTTGTCCTGTGGCTTTTCCCCCTGACGCCACCAGACACCGTTAAACTATAACGGCACCTGTCCGCGTATCATGCTGACGTTAAAGAACGTCTTTTTTTGTTGGCTTCTGACGCCACAAGTCAGTGTCAAAGCGTCTGATTTTGACGACTTCGAAGTGAGAACGGCCTTGTATTTCATCTCTCCTGAAAGAACGGAAGCATCATCGCTCCACACTTTCATGACTAATTTACATGTAAATGGAGGCCTAGACGCATATTTCACTGTTGTGTGTATTTTTTAGTCTAAAATACAAATGAGACTACAAATTGTAGTTACCTTCTAAAACATCTCACAAGAATGTTCAGCCACCACTGTGGTTATGGTTTAGTCAGGTTTAGGTCAGCTGTCAGGATGTAAACAGCAGCCTTTGGCATCAAACTACACGATGATAACATACGTGATATTTTTCTCTTTTGACAGCCCGCTGTCGTCAAATACCACTGCTTTGTTAGTGATTTCAGTGTCAGACACCTGACGTCAAAAGCCATGTTTCGTGGTGGTATGACAAGTTGCCAGGTAGCGTCAGTTTGTAACGCAGCCAGACGTAAGCTTTCGCAATCTTATGATATGCTGCTGGTTGGCTCGACGACACCTGTTGGGGCCGTATGATACACCGCTGGACAGTTTGAAACACTGCCAATAATGACGTAATGTAAGGAGGTGGAAAGTCTGGGATGGGTGGGAGAGCTGGTGGATGGGTCCCGGAGTTTCACCAAGGAGCCCGGTGTTCGCTTCCGTATGAATGTAGAGCCAAACCATGATGTTTTCTTTCTAACCCCTTGACGCCCATTGTCGCGAATTCGCGACGAACCGCTTCCATTCAGAATGCATCCAAGATAATATATGTGTTCCCCAAATGCCGGTTCATGCATATTTGATACGCACCTAGGAACCTTTTGCAAGCGTTTGTTTCTTGGGGGACCGTTCAAAATCGTAACAACATCCGGTCGAAGGAAGCGGACATTTCCGGTTTCATCGCGATCGCATATGCAAAGCCAAAACAGAGAAATTGTCCTATTTGAGGTAAGTTGCTCTAAGATAAATATAATTATTGTTTGCTTCTACAGCTAAAATATCTGTATAGACTACCTGTGACGGATATTTTTGAAGTTATTTCAAGTTTTCCGTTTGTAGCGAATTTGCTACATTAGGCCATAATGGCTGTGTTGCTACGGCTACTGAAAGCCATCTAAAAATAGCATTAGCCACTATAGCCGTTAGCTATAGTGGCTAATGCTATATTTAGATGCTATATTTGGCCATCTAATGCTATATGCTATATTTAGCCATCTACATATAGCATATTTAGATGCTATATTTATGCATCTAAATGCTATATGCTATATTTATCCATCTAAATGCTATATCCTATATTTAGCCATCTAAATATAGCATTAGCTATAGTGGCTAATGCTATATTTAGATGCTATATTTAGCCATCTGCGTACTATGTGCTATATTTAGATGGCTTTCAGTGCTTGCACACATTTTCTATATGAAAAAACACTCTATTTCTATAATCGTTATATGAATAGCATGCTGGTATATAAATGCAATTTCTGCCCTTTATTTTTATGCAGAAATGCCATAAATGAATCCATCTGTGTTTTACGCAAAACTGAAAACGGGACTTCAAACCAGGGTCCCACCTGAGGAGAGTGAAGACAGCTGTCTCAGTGACAGTGGGGACAGCGATGATGAGTATATCCCAAACCCAAACCCCCCTATTTGTGAATGTAACCTGAGTACATGTTGTATATATAATATAAATAAAACATTTCTGTAGTATATACTTTTCAATAGTGATTTCATTGTTTTTTTGGTTTATTTTTACACCAGGTGATGAAAGCAGCAGAGAAAGCAGTAATGAGACTGACAACAGGAGCAGTGCTGATGATGATACAGATGGAGACGAACTTCCTAGCACCAGTGCTACTGCTGCGAGAGAGAAATCAGCTGCTACATCAAAAACAACGGCAACGCTGCAAACTCCCAAATTGCAAGGGCCAGACAGTGATCAAATGTTCAAAGTGCAATGTTCACCTGTGCCTAAACAAAAATAACAACTGCTTCCGTGAGTTTCATGAGTGAGACATGAGTGCAAAGGCAACTCAACTGTTTGTTGACAGACACACGCACGCACACACACTGTTCACTAACTCACTCACTCACTCACTCACTGTTCAAAGTGCAGTGTTCAAAGTGCAATGTTGATGAATGAGACTGCAAAGACAGCTCAGCTGTTTGTTGTGTTACACTTACTTACACACACACTCACTCACTCACTCACTCACTTGCACACACGCACTCACACTGTTCAAAGTGCAATTTTGATGAATGAGACTGCAAAGACAGCTCAACTGTTTGTTTGTTGCAATAAATGCAATGAATCATATACCTGAGATGGGAAAATGTTTTATTACTATCTTACTATCTGTTTATTACTAATGTAAAGGTGTTGCCTGTTGTCGCTAATTTGCATCATACCTAAATTTCTATCTGTTCTGTGTGCTAGAGTCAAATTAACAATCTCCACTTAATTTAACATCTGCTTGAAGGCAAAAACACAAATTATTTATTTTTTAATATAATTGTATATAAATTCAGGCGTCAAGGGGCTAAACCTAACTATGTGCTTTCGTTGACGTCGTAGTGTTAGTTGCAGCTACCGGAACGTCAACAGCTGATGAAGGAGGATAACTAGCATGTGATATTACTACACTAACAAAGCGGGGATATGTGACGACTTTGATGAGAACATGTTGCTTTTGAATGGTATATGCAGCAAGCTACTAAGCAGGGCGCTGACACTCTTTGATCACATCAGCTATCGTCTGGCGATGAAAAAGTCTCTGGGGACAAGGGCCAACATTTCCGGCTGATCCGTTGTAGCAAGTAGATATCAGAGCCAAGACTTCCTCTTACGTGTGCCGGTCATTTTGGCTAATCTCTTCAAACAGGTACCTGCTTTCATGTGCAATTTTAAAAAACCTAATATAAAGCTAATCCATCATCAGACGATAGCATGTGGGTTCTTAGACTGCATTTCAGTCACTATGTTCCGCCTCTCCACACAAACTGTTTACCTGCCGTTCAAACATGATAGTCAATATGACTCGGACTACAAATGGGAAGAACACTTACGAAACCCAAATCTTGTCCCCTCGCCTACAGATTCTCCGTACTTATGATCAGACTCTCCGTACATATGCAGAATCTGCTTATACAGATTAGGTGCTGGCTAACCATTGGCAGCAGTTTGGCGTTCAGTGTCTTGCCCAAGGATGCTTCGACATGTGGACAGGAGTAGCTGGGTGTCACACTGCCAACCCTGCAATCAGTGGACGATCTGTTCTTCCTGCTGAGCCACAGACATGGTAGACTACACTACACATTGGACCCCAACCAATCAAAGCTCACCAGCTTTCACAATTTGTTCAAGAAGTAAGAAGAAGTAAGGTGTCAGGAATTGACTTAACTTCATCCCTTCATCTCCTTAAAAGCAAAAGAGTGCGCACTGTTTTTAGTTTAGTTTAGTTTATTTGTTTATTTGGACGGGACAGTGCAAAATTAATGAACACAGGGCATGAGGCAGATACAAGTACCCGGAACATGATACAGCGTAAAAATTGCCGGATTTAGCACGAGGCTAATTTCCATCCGTAGTCCCCAACACATAGAAGACAATTTTTCACCCTGCACGGGATGAAACCAGTGATTGCTGCACCAGATCTTAATTTCTTTAACGTTGAGGCCCAAGTCTGTCGGGTTGGTTCATGACCAGGCTGATATCAAAGAGTCATGAAGGCTCATCACACTAAAAAGATCAATGTGCTACTGCTCCTCGTTTTGTTTTGTTTAATTGTCTATCTGTTTTCTGGTTCTGAAGACAACCTGCCAGAACTTCCTGTAATCGCTCCGAAAGTCCGAATCATCCAAACAAAATGTTTTTGCAACACATTCTCACTTCCAGCTTGTCAAATACTGACACTTGGTCAGAAGCCTTACACATAAAAACTCTGATACTCTACATACACCTCCAGTTTTGGACGTTCGGGGACAACAAACACAGACTTTCACCCAAGAGATTACCGTTTACATCTCGTAAGATCGTAAAGCCAAACCCTGTTCTTTTTTCCTAAACCCAACCGTATGTGTTTGTTGTTGAAGGAAAAAAAAACATCAGTTCGCGGTGTTGTACTGACTTGGTGCTTATATTTTGAAGAAGACTGTTAAACGTTAAATTTCCTGTGAAAACAGAAGTGTATTTTGAAAGAAGACAATGCATGTAACAGGCTGACATTGACACGGCGTCCCAGAACATCAACAACCAACACACCCAGGGTACCTTGGACGTCATATGTGGACGTGGAAAGTCCATGACCAAACGTCAATATGTGACGAGGTCACAGTGAGGACGTGTTGAGATGTGACAACTTGAGAGTGAGACCGGATTAGTTTTCATTCCAGAAAAAAGTTTGATCCGGACTGAGACCACCTCTATTTGTTGAATGAAGGTTAAGCTGTTTGGTCCAGGCCGTGATTTGGAGGATGTTTCACACCTGTAACTTTAATTCGGATTATAGATAACGATAACAGCCTCATGCTACTGAGAGAAGAGCGCCATCACTCCCACAACCACAAGAGGTCTCTGCTCAGAAGAAAGGTAAAGAAGTGGCGTTGTGAGGACCGACTCTTATTTCTGTTCATTCATCTTCTGAACAACTTTGAACTCGTCTGTCAGAGTTACAGCTGAGATTATCATTACAACATTTATTATTATTATTACTGCTCGTGTAGGTGGTCGGCCTGCTGTCAGCTCACCTCAGCTGCTTTATCAGCGTCTCACTTCAATTCTGTGTGTGTGTGTGTGTGTGTGCTTGGGTGTACAGATAAGACAGATTACAGCCGAGCTCATTGTGTTTCTGGGTCTGACTTGTTATCCACGACCCCAAGCTTTCCCACCCGTCTGCTGCTGCTCACACACACGCACACACACACACACACATAGACCCAGGCATGTGAAGCATACAGTATGTGTGTGTACATCAGTCATTGTAAGCTGCTGTGGATAAGAACATCAGCTAAATGCCTGAAAACGTAAATGCGTGTGTGTGTGTGTGTGTGTGTGTGTGTGTTGTTATGACTGGCGTCGCCCTGACAGGCCCCATTTGTCATCCTCGGGACCTCTGGTGGATTGATAACGAACAAAAACACAAACATAAGCGTCTGAAAATGAACTCTTGTCGGCTTAGAGCGACTTTTTCAGCGCAGAGGAATGTGGAGCAACAACAGGCCGTCTGATTGGCCGAAGCACAAGGTCAGGGTCGACGGTAGCCAATAGGGAATTCACAGGGTTGGGGGTTTGAATCCCAGCTGGTCGGGTGGGTCATTTAAGCTTCATTCTTTCACCTAAAAAACTACAAGTTAGTTTGATGCTACTCTAAAGTTCATTGAAAAGATTTTTAAAAGGTATTGAAATAGGAAATGTGTATTTATTTACAAAGTCTGTGTCAAAGTGTGATTTTTTCATGATGTGTAGGAGACATGCATGACTGTGTGGACAAATCAGAGACAGTTTGGGCATTAAAGGAGGTGGAATGAGGTCTCAGTCCACTCATATGTGTCTATAGTTTGTTTCTGTAGTTGTTTTATGGTGTATTTCTGAGGCATTCACCATTAGTCATCCAAATAACTCACTTTTAACCCCTTCACACTAGATTTAAAGACATGTATCTGCATGACGGTGTTCATATTTGGCAGGAGAACAATAGCGAAGACATTCATTCACAGATTTTTTTAATTAACTATGAATAAATGCTTTTATCCCTACTGTTTTTCAGTGATTGAGGAGGGCCTGAAAACGAGCTTTTAACCCCCCAAAAACTGTCGCCTGCTTTTTATGTCTTCTCTGTTGACTTTAGAGATGTCTTTACTTAAGTCTTTAATTTGCATCTGATGTATTATTTTAATATAACAATAAAACATTATTACACAGCACTTTACAAAGAGTCAAACACATTCTAGCGGCTTAAGCAGCAGATATATGTACGGAGGGCACGAGAGGAGTAAATATATCTCATGTTTTGTTTTCTAGCAATCATAAAGAAACTGTTTTTGTGACCCTGACATTATAAGTCATGTGTTTAAAATATTTCAGTCTGGACCAAAGTACATTTCCATCCCCGGAGCCATGTCGCTAGCACGACTAAAAAAGGATATTCCTGAATGCTGCGCCTGCATCTGAGACATTTATTGAATCAGTGCATTAAAGTAAAGTTTGAGTCCCTGCAGACCTTCTGTGGAGCACGACCTCTCTGTTAAAATCACTGGAATTACAATGTTTTTTCCTTTTTATTAAAAGATATCGAGCTCTTCTCAGATGCATGAGAAATACTGGAGTTGGTTAATGTGCTCACAGGAAAGGTTGGTGTGACTTGTTTAATTTCTAAAGAAGCAGAGTATTTAACATTTTGTTTTTTTAGTGTCAACATGTAGAGCTAAAACTGAATTGTTCTGTGACCCGCCATTATAGTTACTGTGTTTATAGATGCAATTAGAGATTGTGAAGCATGGAATATTCCTCCTGTTATCAGCAGAAACTGATGATAAAAGCAGGTTGATCTCTAAATGTGTATCAGCTCCTTTTTACATGAATGTTTTGTAGTTTCAAAGACACACAAAAAAAACCCTGTCAATTATAATAGTACACAAATACTCCAGGAGTTACTGTGTTTGCGCATAATTTAAGATTTTTTAAAATGCATTTTAATCCCTACATACGCTGATCAGAGAAGGTCAAAATAACTGTTTAATATTTGCTCACTAAAATCAGATATGTGGTTCAAGTGAAATAAAATGAGACGTTGAACTTTCATGTGAAGGTAAACTTTAATTAAACTGGTTATTAAAAATATATTAAAGGTGTTAATAGAAAATTAAAACAAGCAGGAAGAAATCTTCAAAATTTAATTAATTGACCTTTTTTCCACCCTTTTGTTTTCTTTTTATTTCTGGACCGTATCACCTTAACGCCCCATACATCAACAGCTTTGTTGGTTTCACTCTTCTGAGGCTGTAATCTTTGTTTTTCCTACATTATCTGTCACATTTGAGCTGCTTATTGTTGTTTTTTAAACTGATGAAATATACATGTTTAATGTATGGGAGTCTGTGTTTTAAATGTACATTAATTTCCATATTTTTCCACTTCATCATCATCATCATACGCCGTAATTACAGTCCTTCTCCATATCGCTGCTGCTGGGGACGGAAAGCAAAGAGGAGAGAAAAAAAAGGGAAAAAGCAGAGCAGGAGGAGAATTAGGTGTTTTCATCCATTGATTAATGGC